GATATTATAAAGTTGGTCAACTAGCTCGACTACCGCAATATCGATTATACCAATTATTTATTCTTTAAAAATATAACAGAATAATAAAAATGCAGAAAATTTTAACAAAAAAATTAAATATTAACTCCAAACATTCTTTGATGATCTTGTCTTCTGCATTTGATCTTTATCAGATTGAGTTCTTTCCATTTTTCATGCACTCAAGTCATTAGCCGTTTTTTTTCAATAATATTCACCCACACTTAACAAACTCCCAGAAGTACAATTTATTCTACGCTAATTAGCTTGCAACTTATTTAACAATGAAAACTTAAGACCAAGTAGTTGTGACTTTCTTGCCCTCGGTTATTTGTCCAACTGCCTGTATAGGTCTGTTGGTCTTTCAATAAATATCTGACACATGATCGCAATAAAATTAGCACAAAAACTACATCAAAAAGGAAAGGTATGAGTATTTTGTCTGAATTTTTTTCTACATACATATATGCGCTTAATACATATAAACATGTACATCTATACAACATAGGTAGGGTAGAAAGATATAAAACTCCCACCACCACATGTTGACCAATTGACGCTTTGAATTGAATGAAATAAAGTTCGAACAGATGAAGCATAAAATGTTTGACGTGTAATGAACTGGAAACACGACAGTAAAACTAACAAACTTCATTTCTCGTGGGGGATATGAATCAGCCTGTCAGCACTTCACTCAAACTTGTTATATATGTGGCCACATCGAGATTTACTCACTTCATACGCATTTCGCGCACAAACTAATAGCAGTCGTTAGATAACTTTCGTCTACATTGCATTAGTTCATAAGTCATCATATTGATGGGCCATTGGTTGGTAGTGTCACCACCTCCGTCTAGGGAATAAGAGTGCATAGATTATGTTGACTAGAATTCTCTGCAGACAACGGTGATTTTTGATTTTTCAATTTATTTGCTTATGATTTCTTTGTTTTATCATAAGTTAATTCATAGCACGGATAAGTGAGGTAATATCACACGCGCAGTTTTTCTGACCAGAAATAAAAAAGCTCGTTCGATTACAGCTTAAAACTGAGATCAAAAACCCCAAAATGGGAGGCGGAGCTTGGCCGGGTTCATTTCACTGTTTTCAAAGTGCCAATTATATATAACGGATGATCCAAGAAGAGGTCATTGTTCAAAAGCCTTTTTTGACAGATCACACATGAGTCGTATTATGCTGTCATGTTATTTTTGTTCATTCTTGTTTGGCATTTAATATTGGAAAACTCACGCCTGAACAACGTTAAAAAATCGTTCAAACTTATTGCGAAAATTCACGTTCTGTAAAGAATGTGTTTCGTGTGGTGAACATAATCGGCCTACTATTCGCAATACCAATACTCATTTGACTGAATAGGGTACGTCCAGTACGCAGTGACGAAAATATAGTGACCGTAGCAGAGAGGTAGAGCCGTTCGCAGCAATTCCGAATGATGTACGCTGAAGAGATTTAATGCTGCCATTTCATACGTTCGGCGCGTCATTATAACAGACATCGCACTTATCAATCGATTTATTGAGAGACCACTTCGGTGAGTAGATAATTTTGTCTATGTCTAGTCTCTATGCGGGCAATTTCGATTCGATTTAGGCCTTGGAACAAAACATCACTCTTGTCTTTCGCCAGTTATCAGAAGTTCCTGAGAAACCTTGGAAAGAAATAATCTTTAAAAAATAAATACCAAAGAATTTTACTCCAAACGATAGTAAACATTATCCTTTAAATTTGAATTTTCTGTGTATTTTTTCTTTAAAATAGTAGGGAACCTCGAAATTGATCAGCCCAAAGTGTGGGTGCATTTTAATGTTTTTTTTTATCAAATTTATATCAACAGTTTTGAAACGAAATAAGCATTCCTTATATAAATGTTTTCAGTGTGAGGGTTTAGTCCAGTATTTTGTTTTAAATATTTCGTTCTGAATATAAACATATTAAAAATGAACAGGGCGGATACAGTTGCAATATGCTCTACGTCGAATAAATTACTTATATTCTGAAATAAATATTCTACTTTAGAAATAGCATAATGTTTATTGTAAATTTAGATGCATTTTCAATCCTATTTAGTTTTTGTGGAAAGAATTATGCCCCAAAAATTTATAAAAATTAGTGTCTCGCAATTGTGAGGTTGATGATCTTTGAAGAAAAATTCATAAATTGCAGTCAGATAATGAGTTTGAAAAGATTTTACAGCGTATATGTATTTGAGATTCAACTTTTCAAATCGCCAACTTCAAATTCGTAACAGAAGGTTAAAGTAAAGAGATTATTTAATTCAAAAGAGGGGTCGACAAAAGGACATTTTGATTAATTTAGTCTCAATGCCCACAACACATTTCTCTTATGTCAATAATTTTACCAGCTCATTATCAGTTTATGCGCTATTTATATTTCCATCTTCATATCTCTCGTAAAAAGAGATTCTTTCATTTGTCAAATAATAATTGTCTTCCAAGTCAGGTACCGACATTTTCTTTAAAACCTATTTTTGTAGCAAATATACAAAAATACTAACTATCTTCTTTCAACAACTAGAAAAGGATTTAAAACCAGCTAAGTATTTCACTGCACTGTTGCCACAAATAAAGACAACATGTAAGTAAGTAGCGATGCGAAGTAATACGACTATATACGGTTTAAAGCTGCAACAGCTTTATTTCGTTTTACGCGCATAAAATACACACCTAGATGCATTAAATTTCATGTGAGATCTGGCGGTAAAATAGGCTAAATACATACAAAAATGTGTAATAAACCAAAAAACGAAATGGCAATGGAAAACTGAATTTCTCGATACGGCAACAAAAGAAAAGTAGTGGGTTTAAGCTTTTACATATGTATATATTTAGCCCACACCTGTACTAATTTGTCGATACATATACATACGTAAAAGAAGCTTCTCAAATTCATTCAGATTTGTTATGAAATAATACAAAAAAGGACATATGAAAACAGTTTGCATCCCATATTTTTTCTAAGGGACAAAATCTACTATGCGAATAGATATATGCATATTTACATGTAAATTTAAACAAGCTTTGTANCATTGCACCTTCTGATTATCATTTGTTTCGATCGCTGCAGAACAATTTGAATGGAAAAAAGTTTAAAAATGAGGAAGACGTCAAAAAACACCTTGACACCTTTTTCAACGAAAAACCGCGCGATTTCTATGAATCAGGCATCCGTAAATTGGTTGAACGTTGGGAGTGGATTGCCGAACATGATGGCGAAAATATAATTGATTAATAAAAGCGCTTTCTTCATATTCCATGCGTCTTTTCACTAAGCAACTCAAATCAAAATGAAGTTATTTTATGCTTGATTTACAGTTTGGACTGTCACCTTTCCAACGATATATAATATGTATATATTTCTTTCACGAGCGCCACTCTCAAACGATTCGAACGGCATCCAGCGGAATCGGGCACAAACTTATGCACTCATCCAATATTTATTAAATCTGTATCACAATAAGTAATTCTTAATATCAAAATTAAAATTAACTATGACAGCCCAATAACTTGGAAGGGGCTCTTAACTCAGTGTTACAAAGGTTGTAAATTACTTCTCTTCAGGCGCGTTTGACTTGTTGCAGATGTCAAGGTTTTAGCCAAACAGTACGGTGTACAATCACCAACGTATTTTTATGTAACGATTTTATTTCTTCTTTGATGGTGCGTATTTTTAAGTCTCTATAGATGTTTGATTTTCGCATGTATCGTGGTGCTGAGGTTATTATTCTCAACGTTTTCGCTTGGAATCTTTGATACATATATATCCAACTCGCAAATTCTGCACATAATTGGATTCCATACTTCCATATGTCTTTTATAGTCGGGTTATAAAAAACCACTTTGTTTACCAGTCTGAGTCCAGATTTATTACTTTAAAGCCGTTTCAAATTGAAAAACTTAAGCTTCAGCTCCAGATTTTTGGTGGAAATGTGTCATTTTCAATTTAACCGCGTATCCAAGTGAAAGCCAATATACAATATGTGATTTCGTTAGCTTGTGGAATAGGCTTGTTGCTGAGCTTGACAATAGGGTTCGTTTTTGGCTTCAATATGATGTATTCGCATTTGTATTTCTTAACGCAAGTGCAGCAACATGAGCGCGGTTTTGGCGGAGAGATTATGCTGCCAGGATATTTCTCTTGCAATAAATTTACAAGTATACTTATTCGCTCTTGCTGGTGGTATATATTGTTAAAACCACACATTGCACAAGTCCAACTCTTTATTTACGTCAGCTAAAACGCTCCGAGTTGGCAGCGACAGTCTCGCAGCTGTCGTTTTCAAACAAATTTGGCTGAATCATAACCATGAACCAAATCATCTATATATTCTCGGAAACATAAATGCGATAAGTTTTCTTATTAACAAATCTCCCGAGTTAGAAACGGGCCACATCGCTGAAGAAAATTTTGTTTGAAAAATCGTCGCCCCACCAGAAAGTTTCCGGAAATTGTTTTTTTTTTCTCTCTATATTCGCGGTTTGGTTCATCATGAGTTATTTCCAATGGGACAGATGGTCACAATAAAGAGAATTATTTGAATGTAATTTGGAACGTTTGCGCGTAAACATCAGTCGTAAATGACAGAAAATGTTGGCCATCAATTATCGGAAACTTTCAATACGGTAATGCGCCATCGCACCGAGTCGTAGTTGTGAATCGTTTAATACCATGGATCAACCACCGTATTCACCGGATTTGGCCCCATGTGACTTTGTTTTGTTTCCAAAACCCGTTTCGACTGGGCCGAGCCGTAAACGACAATCCACGGAGGGAACAGAGGTCGACTGATTTCAGCAGCTGCTGCACACAAACGGGTTGATAGTTGGCTCTTATTTTTGCCACAGTAATTAAGGATGGCGCTACCAATTTAACAAAAAAATGCTGAAAAATATTCAGCGTGGGCAGTTCAATGACAATTTCTGGAAACCAGTATGTACGGAGTTATGAATGTGCAGCTGGCTTTAGTTGTTGCGCAAGCTGGACTTTATATGGATGTAGATGTAACTCCAGGTGCGAAATACGTTATAGTGCGCCGTAAGAAAGTGCCAGAATTCGAGAGGGTTGAGAAATTTACACATTCGGGTCTTCGACTACGCTAGTAGCGATATTTTAGGTGGAACAGGTAAAACGATAATCAAAAATCTGTAACCGATCCAGCCTCTTTAAATTTTTTTAAAATTGAACCAATTGCCTGAATAGTTAGAAGGTTAGAAGCACCATAATCTCCTTCGAAAGCGCGAAATGTAGCCACGTCTGAATTACCCTTTTTATAATAAATTAACAAAACAATCATGTTTGGTTCGACAGTTAAATTACACTGATGTCAAAATTCAAGCCATGTACTCTTGAAACCACGAAATGGATAACCTTACATATTTAATAATTATATTTTAAAAATATAATATATAGTTATAAGTAAAGCAGAAGGCCATTGCAGCCAGCTTTTTAGTTTATATATAAGATAATTATTGTTCAATTACTTTTCTTTATAAAATAAATAAATATATTTTAAATATTTATTATCAACAAAAGCATAATTTAAGTTGACAGCTTTTGTAAAAACTTCCGCGCAAGTACCATGCTTTATGCGTAAAACTGGAATAATGGCCAAAAAATTCATTTCATTAAAGCATAAATGAGACTGACGCGCCAGTCACCATCACACGCAGATTCAATTAAATATTTGAATATTCGCTGTGATTGTGTGTATTGTCCAGTTTGAATATACGTTCACTATTATTATTAATTGTACGTTGAATTCGTCAATTTATACAATTCACCATTGGAATCATATTTTGGCTTCGCCTGCAGAAAATACGTTTTAGGTTAGTTAAATGTATGTGCGTTCATAGCAATTCTTATGAAATAAATAAAATTATTAACACGAGCATATTAAGTTGTAAAAACATTATAAACAACTGCTACTGAACAATTTGGTAAATGTTATCTCTGAAATTAGTATTGTAAATTGTAAAAAACGGTAAATTAATTTAAGGGAAAATAAAACTTAAAATTTCTTTGCTAACTCGCCTTTTTAAAAACATCCAACAAAAAATAATAACCGAGTTAGGATTTCTTTGCCATTGTTTGCTGTTCGATGAATGAATAAAATCTATTTGTCTGAGTTGTGCATGAAGAGCGTATACAATTGAATAAAAATATATACCTTGTAGTCCATATAGCCTGCGGGTACCAAATCCATCGATATTTTACGACTTAGTACATTGAAATAATTGCTGTTATCAAGAGTGATTTGGAGTTCCTTTCTCGATCCAGTCAGGCTTTGTAAGGCGATCAGTTATCAATTTATAGAATTTACAATATAAAGAATATTTTTAAATTATTATACAAAAGAAAAATTTCTGCAAAAATGGAAAATTTCATATTGTTGCTTTATTCTGAGCCTGGCAAATGAAATCTGCAATACTTTTATGAGATATGCCTTTTTGGAAAATTTTGATCTGAGAGGCGCAATACTTTATTATAAATAGTAGATGATGCTCATGAAATAATTTTTTCGGGTGTGGTTAAGCAAGGTATATGTATTTGCCTAGATAATTAAAAAGCGCAATATGGAATTATTTACTGACATTATCGACTTAGGTGCCTCAGTGAATATAAGCTAAATTTTTGAAATCGTATAGATTTTTATGCTTATAATACAAAAGGCGTCTAAGCTTTCATTAAAAGATAAGCGAAGGAGTTCAATGACCCACACATTTCTATTTTATGCAAATAAAAATTCCTCATCTTACAAAAGTCATTTACAGCTCTTTAAAGGCTAAACACGTATCCATATTTTTTGTATACATACATTAAAGGTAATCTTCGTCGCTTCGTCGAAGTCCTACGAGATTTCCGAATTTGTAATAAACAAAATATTGTAAGGGTTAAATGCATTTATTGTAATTAAATATAGGTTTCGACAAACAGTAAAACACACAGAATATAAATTTTAAAAGCTGTTTGCTTTGTTAAAGCGTATTTTAAGCTAAAATTAGTCAATTTGAATTATTCGTTACATTTAAGCCACAAAATATATTTTTCAATTGATCTCTAAGAAATAAATGTAATAAAAAAGATTTGCAAAAGAGACGCAAAGTTAAACTTTCCAGCCACCACATACTTGACTATCTCAATTTTATATACAATCTTAGTCCTCCTTTGGTTTTGATATGAACAATATTTACAAATTTCACTTTGTTTTTCTTTTTTCAATTTCAATATTCTCAATGTTATTCTGAAAATAATTGATTGCGGTTAGTGTAAATATATTTGCATTAATTCTGAATTCTAAACTGTGAACATTCAAGCGCTACTTCATCCAAGGCTCAGCAAAAGTCCAGTGCAGTTGTTTGAGAAACTCGCGTTGATTTATTGAAGTCTTGTCACTGATTATTTCATCCATGGTCTTATCCTTTTTAAACACTTAAATGAGCGATTGAGTCACATGTTTCACATGTCGGCTCTCGCCGTTAAACTATATTATTATACTAACACGCTGTCGACTATTTCTCTATTCTAGTCGACCAAACATTTCTGTTTTACCACGTGGTACATTTAAAAAAAACTAATAGCATGAGAATATTGCTAAACATTCATGGCACATCATTAACATTTTCTGAAGCTAATTCAGCGCCTTCAACGTGTAATCCGAATCATTAATGGTATTTAAAATATTTTCTTTTATTTATTTCAATAAATTGGATTCCAAGCATTTTGATTCTCACTCCGTTACTTTACTGGCGTAGACACCGTTCCCGCGATTATTGCCGAGCTAACAGCATTTCGCCATTCGTTTCTTATTTTCGCTGTTGGGTGCCAATTGGAAATACCAAGTAGAGCCAGGTCTGCTCTGCCTGGTCTTTCCAACGGAATGCACGCCTTCCTCTTCCTCTGCTACCACCGGGGAGTACTGCAAACTTTCAAAGCTGCAGTATTCGTATACATACGAACCACACGCCCTAGCTAGCATAGCCGCAACTTTTGGATTCACTGAACCAAATCAATTTCGCCGTATAACTCGTTCAGCTCATCGTTCCATCGTATGCAATATTCGCCGTTGCCAATGAGCAAAGGACCATAAATCTTATGCAAAACCTTTCTCTCGAAAATTCCTATCACCAACTCATCAGATATTGTCATCGTCCATGCTTCTGCGCCATATATTTAGTAATTTAATACGACATTAACGATGAGGGATTGTAGAATTAGGTTTTCGTTCGTTGGGAGGGGACTTTAGTTTTTAATTACCTGCTCGGTCCAAAGTATCACCAGTTGGCAATAGTGATTCTGCGTTGGATTTTCAAGCTCATATTGTTTTTGGAGTTAATACTAGTTCCAAGATAGGGAAAGTTTTCTCCGACTTCAATGTTATGACTGTCAACTGTGACGTGGGAGCCGAGTCGCGAATGCAATGACTGCTTGTTTGATAACAGAAGATATTTCGTCTTGTCTCAATCACTACCAGATCTACTTGCTTCGCTCTTTATCGTGTCTGTAGAAAGTAGAACTCCATTTTTGAGGCCAATAGGGCTTAAGAATTTACCCGAGGCGACTAAAATCCAATAGTTCCCGCGACAGTCGGGCCTTTTTACGATTTTTATCCGGCCAAGGACTGTCACTCCCGCAACATTCCCAAAAAGTACTTTGGGGAATAATTTTGCGGTTACAACAACAACAACAACAACAATCTTATCGAATATTGTACCTTCTCTATTCAACTCAGCAGCTCGTATTATTTTCTCCAGCAATAAATTAAAGAAGTCATGGAATCATCCTGTCTGAAACCTCGCTTGATATCGAACGGCTCAGAGAGATCCTTCCCTTTTCTAACGGAGTTTTACCTACTTACTGAGTGCTTTAAAAAATCAAATAATTTCCTTCTCCTTTTTCCATGTAATGTATTGTATAATAACCGTTGAAAAAATCTGCAGCTGTTCCGCAACCTTCCGGGATTTTTCTCTGGTTCGGGTCAGTCCAGACTGTCAAATCAAAGTTGACATATGCATTTCAAATGAATGTCTCCCATTGCAGCTTCTTNAGTATAGCCAGGTCTGCTCTGCCTGGTCTTTCCAACGGAGTGCACGCCTTCCCTTCCTCTGCTACCACCGGGGAGTACTGCAAACTTTCAAAGCTGCAGTATTCGTATACATACGAACCACACGCCCTAGCTAGCATGGCCGCAACTTTTGGATTCACTGAACCAAATCAATTTCGCCGTATAACTCGTTCAGCTCATCGTTCCATTGTATGCAATATTCGCCGTCGCCAATGAGTAAAGGACCATAAACCTTATGCAAAACCTTTCTCTCGAAAGCTCCTATCACCAACTCATCAGATATTGTCATCGTCCATGCTTCTGCGCCATATATTGTATTTAGTAATTTAGTACGACGGTAACGATGAGGTATTTATAGAATTTGGTTTTCGTTCGTTGTGAGGAGACTTCAGTTTTCAGTTGCCTGCTCAGTCCAAAGTATCACCTGTTGGCAATAGTGATTCTGCGTTGGATTTTCATGCTCATATTGTTCTTGGTGTTAAGACTGGTTCCAAGATAGGGAAAGTTTTCTCCGACTTCAATGTTATGACTGTCAACTGTGACATGGGAGCCGAGTCGCGAATCAGCAGTTCGTATTATTTTCTCCAGCAATAAATTAAAGAAGTCACATGACAAGGAATCGTCCTGTCTGAAATCTCGCTTAGTATTGAACGGCTCCTTATTCCATGTAATGTATAGTACCCGTTGAACAAATCTGCAGCTGTTTAGTGTAAGAGGCAAGTGTAACCATGATCTTCCGCAACCTTCCGGGATTTTTCTCTGGTTCGGGTCAGTCCAGACTGTCAAATCAAAGTTGAATGCATATGCATATATGAATGTCTCCCATTGCAGCTTCTTCCCGAGTAATACGTCAAAAAGAGTAACTTCACTGACCATTTTCTAAAGCACAATTGCCGCTTATACACTACACAATTAACTTGGAGCTTTGTCATTAGCATTACAGGCTTGACTGCAACTGTCACATGTGTAGCAATTGTCAGTGTATCAAGACACATAAATTAATTGAACAAACAAATGTCACAAATGTGAGCTT